AACGATAATGAATTTCTAAATCACTTTGAAAACACACTGTCAAAAATTCGACCAGATTATGAATTAATTGTTATGGGTGATATGAATATACATTTTCTAGACAAGGGCTCTGCTCTCTTAAAGAAATTAATGAGTACACTTAGTCTATTTACTTGCCATCAACTTATCAATTCACCGACCGGAATCACATGCAATATTAGCACCATTATTGACCACATAATTTGTTACAATGGCGAGAAAATATCTCAGTCTGGTACTATCGATTGGATTAAGTGACCATGCTCTTATATATTGTACCCGTAAAATTATTCGTAACCCAGTGAATTGTCACAATATTGTAAAAATTCGGTCATTGAAAAACTCCAACTGTATTTACTTCTAAATTAAATAATATTGATTGGTCTGTGTAGCTGAAAAAATTGTGATATTAACGTTGTCTGGTCCAAATTTAAATCAATGCTAATTGTGCGTTTCAAAAATAGAACAGAACCATGGATAGATGGTGAGACTTTAGAACCTATCAAGCTTCATGATTCTCTGTTGAGTAAAGTAAAGAAAAACAGAAAAGACAAAGAAACATGGTGTAATTTCTGTAAAATAAGTAACAAAGTCTGAAGGGATGTAATACGTACAAAAAGTGAATATTTCAGTAAAAAAAAATATGAGAATAAGGAAGAACCCATGAAGTTATGGATCAACTTAAATCATTGGGTTACACAAATACAACCAAAACCTCCTCTAAAATTGTTTTAAAAATAGATGATGAAATTGGTTTTGATGATAACATAGTTGCAAATTATTTTAATATATTTTATACAAATGTTGCTTCCAATCTTGCCTGTAAACTACCTGATGGCAGTAACAAATTCGATACTGATTTCAAACAGTATTATGACAGTAAAGGAGTGCCAAAAGAGGGAATGAAATTGTCTCTTTATTTCAGAGGAATTCATCCTTAAAGAACTTAAATGTTTAAACATTAATACGAACGTACAGCCGACGCTGAAGACAGCCACTGTGGGCATGCCATATACGAAATATTATTTCGTTCCATTGTAATAGTTTCATATTTTTTCTAACCATGTCCCTTTAGAAGCTCCGTAAATATCCTAATACCACAAGAAAACTAATAAAGAAAACAGCAGAAGAGTAATTTCCACTGCTCCGTTCTCCAGCACTTTGAAGTCTCAAACGTTAGTGGGCTCGCTGGAACAGTACAAGCGTGAAAGTTTGTGTCTGTCTCTTTGTAAAAACGAAAATCTCATTTTACACGATGTACATACGCGTTCCGTTGTCAGGCACAAAGTGTATTTTTAGCCTATGTTTTACCAGGGAACAGTAATTTCACTGTTTCCTGGTTTTACCATTGTAGTCAAGGGTGATAGACCTAGGCCTACAAACTAGTTGTGTTATTTGTTTTATTAATAATTCCACACTTCATGTGTACACCCATTCCAAGTTATACTGCAAGTTGTACCGCTATGCCTAAGAAATTTAAGAAATCACCCCAGCTAGGCCTCAGTTTATCTAGTCGATCACAACGATTGCAACGCCGCACGCGTGTCTTCTGATTACCACATTTTTCTCAGTTTGAATTAACTAAATAGTGTAGTTGCACTCTTAACAATTATGTGAAAAAGTAGAGTTCGATGTACATAATCAAAATGTCAAAAGGGAAAAAATGAAAAAAATGTGATTTTTTTTTTTTTTTAAGTTTGTACCTCTTCGTGGTGTCGGTGAAGCACTGTAACCAAATTGGTAACTAATATCTTGAATATAACAACAAAATGATGTAAAGATTGTATCATGAGATCATGACAGCAACTAAAAGTTCCTTAATTGAAAATTGCCTGATTTTGTTGTATTGGCGGGACTGAAATGGCGACCTCTTGCTACAGCGTCATACCGTTAACCACCGAACCGAAATATTGAATAATCCAGCCAAGCCAGATATCTCATCTAAAACTGATACAACGCCCTCAATGGTATTCGATAAAATTGCAAAAAAATGCGGTTCAGAGAAAGATTGAGTCTGTTCAAACTGATGTCGCGATTTACCGTATTTCAACCATAATCAAATGCATTGTTGCATTTTAATGTTTGTTATTATTAATGTTGTATTATTTTAATTATTAGTACTTTATTATTTGTTTAATTATTATTATTATTATTATTATAATTTTCGTCTCCTTATATTTTGTATGTTACAGACATCCATCATCCATACAGTAGGTCTACTAATGGTATACGTTTGTGTTTTCGCGTAATATTTTCCGTGTAAAAATATACAGTACTTCTATCTTTTTCTTTTTAATGTTTTGTCCTGTTCATCTTTAGCCTTAGTTAATTTACAAATAATTGTAATTAAGTGATTTTATTTGTATTTTAGTATTGTATGTATACTTTGTGTTTGCGTGCACTTTTTTCTGCTTGTGTAGCCGGGGCTTACAATATGTGCATAGGTGTGTGGTGTGTATTTATGTAGCATTGTACAGTATGTATTTTATATTTGTATATGTGTATACTAGTAGGGCCTTTTGTATTATATGTGTATGTAGGCCTATGTGTATATTTGAGTGTGTGTATTCTTGTATGTAGGCCCACGTGTTTTTTAATGTGTTATGCACGTGTGTATGTTTGCAATTTGTTTCTTTTTTGCAATGATGATTATTTTGTATCATGCACTATAATAAGATAAGATTGGGCTCTGGTACCACAAAGGCGTTTCAAAAAAAGTTACAGGTTACCCAAAATAAGGTCATCCGATTTATTTTAGATAAGTGCGCACGTTACCATTTCACTCATAATGATTTTGCTTCTTTAAATTTGCTTAATGTTTCTTCGGACTAAACAACTTAGCTTAACTAACTTGTATAAAATTTATAATAATACTTGCCCTGATTACCTTAAAGAGAGATTTGTCAAGGTCAATAACATACATAACTATAACACTCAAGGTTCTATTTATAATTTTTATGTTCCTAAAACCAAAGTTCTTTTTTCTTTTACATTTTCTGGTATTCTTGCTTGGAATTCAGTACCGGATTCCATCAAAATCCTGGATACACTCACATCATATAAATTTGCTGTTAAAAAGTTTATTTTCGATAATATGACTGTGTAGACGGTTGAAAATTTTTAAATGATGTTTTTAGTGCGTATATTATATTTATATTTACATGTATAAGGTTAATTTAGGACTAAATCTGTTTTTTATATATAGCTATATTTTGTTGTTTGTCGTTTTTTATCTGCAGAGTGTTTTGTTTGTTCATTTCACATAATTTCATGTAGGGGACCCCTATGGAAATAATTGTCTTTTTCGCAATTTTAGGGTTACCCCCGATATGCTCATTTGTGATTTGATCTGTTCATGTGTTTTTGTTTCTGTTTTTAAAGAGCATATTAAATAAATCAAATCAAAATCAAATCTGTTGATATTATTTCACTTTTAGTTAATTCTTTAATTTTTATGAAGTAAATGCCGGGTTGGCAGAAAATATAGTCTGTATTTTAGTAGGCATATATTTCATTCGTAATTAAGTTCAACGCACCAAAGTGTGCCGCCGTTTCAAAACGTATGTTCGCAAAGTAAATGAAAATAAATAAAATGAAGACGTAGTAAGAGATGCTAAAGAGGACTTGCTATGTTGCAGGGAAAATAGTGGTAAAAATGTTCTAACAATATTTTGAATTGCTGTAGCACTTTTTAAACATGTAAACTAATTGGTAAAATGATAAAAACAGTTCTCAAGAAACAAATAATGATGATCTTACGGAGTATAGCCCTCACTGAAAAATGAGATATAATTAAAACAGAATTAAGCATGGACGAATTTGAAACATTTACAGAATGAGCTCAGCGACAATTGACTCCTATGCAACAGCATACCGCCCTCGACGACACAAAAATATCTTCCAGTATTTTATTTCCATTAATTACAGTAACAAAAAATACCGCGAGACTCGGCTGTTTAGCGCCATTTCCGTTCAAATTGAAACACTGTACCTATGGATTCAGTTATTGCGGCCTACATATATCATTAAAAACAATGATGGCCGCATCTTACTCAACCGCCACGCTAACAGGTGTAAAAATAAGCATAACTTGCAATTAGGGGCTATGCATACGGATTTACTCCTTCATGATTTATTACACAAATATTTATATTAGCCATAGTAGGCCCATGGATGTTTTAAGTAAACTATAGTATTTTACTATAATATCTCTATGGTAGGCCTAATTTATTTATTTATTGATACTTCACCTTTAGAACGGTAGCACAAACAACTTGTGCGGGGCGGTCTGACAACAATAACTAGAATACAAAAGAAAAGAAAACAAAGTAATACTAAAACTAAATAATATACAGAAAAAGCACAAATTAACCAGGAATGTAAATAAAGCCTACAGCTTAACTCGTTTTAACAATACAATGTGAAAATGTATACTAATGGAACTGTATCATAATGTTAAACTGAAATCAAAGTTGAACTAAAAAAAAAAACAACAAAGAATTACAAAATCTTGTAAAAAAGATATATATATATATTATATATATATTATATATATATGTATATATATATATATATATATATAATCAAAGAGACTAGGTTACAAACTCAACATTTTATTTTGCATTACAGACTGTTTTATTAGGGCACAGCCTCAATCATCAGGTGTTCAGCTCTAAATAAAGCTTACTCGGAATAATGAAGTACTGCATTATTCTGAGTAAGCTTCATTCAGAGCCGAGCACCTGATGATTGAGGCTGTGCCCTCATGAAACAGTCTGTAGTGCAAAATAAAATGTTGAGTTTGTAACCTAGTCTCTTTGATTATATATATATATATATATATATATACATATATATATACATACACAAACATACACATACATGCATTATGTTTTGTCAATACTTCCGGTCTCGCTTTGTTCACGCTTCAGTAACCGTGCTAAGCGATGACGTCATTCTGAACTCGCTTGTCCTGTGATTTCTCAGTGCAGTATTTTCCTCATCATTGCAAGTTGAATGCTCTCGTCTGATCTTCTTCTCCATCTTCACCGAAAGGACGGCAACATTTTCTAATTCACTATACCCTTCAGACGAATAACGGTAACAATGCTTACGGTATTTCCAGTTACAATGTGTATACTTTTTAGTTTCTTAATTGGAGTCTATTATTACTATGTCAAAGTAGCGGACAGGTGTAATTGTCAAACTTCTTTGATCGGAAAAACAGTCGTTATAACAGGTAGGTATATTCATTTAATACTTGGTGGTTGTGAGTAGAGGACCTGGTTGGTCCTATCTATTTTATGAATATAATATAATAATATAATTCATATAAAATTAATATAATTGTCTATTTAGTGGTATCAGAATACAAAAAAAAAAAAAAAAAAAAATTAAAATAGACAGTAAAACCGACCTATGCGGTGGCAGGAATGTATCCTACTTTGTAATCAGTGTTGTTGGTTCAGGTCCAAAAATTTCCATGTAAACTAATAGGTATAGATAGAAGTGAAAAATGATATTCGTGGAGGGTTGCTATTTAACAGGCCTAGGCCTATTTTATTTCGAACTGATGGGTGGAGGGGGAAAACAAGTTTACTCGAAGGCTGTGTCATGTAGAATCACCGCTGTATTTTATTAACAGAATATTGAATGTTTAAATTCAAATTTAAAAGTACGTATGTTATTTTTGGATAATCGAATTAGAACAAAACGTCACAATATCCAGTATTCAGATGAATTTATATTAATAGTATAACGAACTGCAAATTTTATTTATTGTATGTTGTACCCTTAAGCATAGCTACACGTCTGTGTATCCATGACAACCGATTAAGATATACATCTAGAAAATCATCAATGGAATGGCAAATTTAAAATTAATCATGTTGCTTAAAAGTTGTTATTGTATACAGTAGTTCACTCAGCAAGTTTATACTTTACTCTATGCGTTCCTCATTTACACTGTGACATTAGGCCTACGAAAACATTAAAAAAAACAACAAAAAAAAACGCGAAAATATTATGAGCGTGTGGCCAGAGGGTTTGAAAGACATGTGTCATAAGACAGGCCACTCACGATACGTAACCTCTTTGGAATTTATTTATGTTTGTATTGTACTGTACTCTGGCAGAGATGGTAATGTTCCTTTAGCTGGCTTGAAGGTATAAAATTGCATACTTCCGCTAGTGGCTAAAAACGGATATGTTAATATTTTTCAGCGACCATCCCCGGGCCCTGGGGCACAGAGCAGTTTCTTCAATTTGTGGAAACCAATAAGTCTCCAATTACAAGAACACAAAAGTTTTATGATGATGTAATTTGGAGGCAGACCTGTAGTGTAAAGAATTTCAGTTTTTACGAAAATGTATCTCCGTCAAAATTTGTTTTGTTTGTTACAGCGGGTTCTGTGATATTGTCTGTTTCATCAAAAGGGGCAGAGGTCAGATTATAATAATATCTTGACAATGACCTAAGTATATGACCTTCGTCACCCGATCATTACCATATCCTTGACTTCCAGCATAGTAAAAGCACATTTACAGTATTGAATACGAGGAAACGGTTACATTTTTAATATGCATCTATTCAATAGCGATAATGTTAACGTTTTGGAATTTAGGAACGGATGAGGAATGATATATGATCAGCCCATGTGTTGGCGTGTAGGAATGCAATTCCCTCGACGACATTCACAGAAAAGTAAAGATTGGGAAACGTGCTTTAGCCCAAGGCCTCGGGTTAAGGTCTCCAATGAACTGTGGTATTGCGAATGCGGCATAAAATTAAATACTGTATTCATTCTTTCTGGGGATGTAGGTAAATAAAGAATCCCAACGAAACAGACTAATAAAACAGGTATAGACATAAAGCAATAATTAAAATTGTGATCGAACACAACTAATATAATAAGTAAATAAAGAATTATTACTATAATATAATAATAACCGTTGGGTGAACCAACTGTAATGCTTCATTAGGTAAGCCTATAAAAGACATCAAGAAAGAAAAAATGAGGTAGAACATAAAATAATAATGATGACGAAAAAACGCATTGAAAAGACACACAAGGCCTATATGTAATATTAGAAATAGGGAAACTTCTCGTTTTAGATGTTTTTGAAAGATGTAATGGAGTAGGTCTACACTTTTTTTAAGAACACCGAGGTCGAAATTGCTTTCAAATAAAGAACAAACTAAGAACTAATTTAGGCTGGGGTAAAAATGTCAAATTAAGTTTGTATTAAAAAAACAATAAATCAAACTAGTGTGAGTAGTAGTTATTCACTGATTAAAGAGAGCGCCCGGGAGATGGACAAGAAGAAAGGGTCTAGTCTAGTCAGTTACAGTGTACATAGGTGGGCGTCAATCCATGTTAGCAAGGTTATCTTGAATTGTATTCAAGGGCCAAAGTAATTAATAATATTTTAGTTATAATAATAATAAATAATACCAATTATGATGCATGACGATGATGATAATAATAATATTCTATATATGGAATCGACACTTTGCAACAGTGGCACACGTGTGTAACGGTGCGTCCATGAAAAGAAAAAACTAACATAAATCAAAACATGACAAATCTAAGAGATACATCAAAATCATAATTCCCCCTTCCCTTCTCCATACAACATCGAGACACAAATTACCCCCACTCCCAATTCCCTTCTTACGCCATACATTCTTCCCAACCGTTAATAAAACATTTCAAAATCGAAAATCCTAACTAAATACAAACAAAATTACGAAAAGCAAAAATAAATTGAAAACACATTAGCAGTAATAAAACGCAAAATGCCTATGAAAAAAAAAACAACTAACACTCCCCCGCCCATTTCCTACCAGCCCACAGACAAGATACGGTAGCTATTCTATTTTATTTTACAACCCAAATTCCAACACTCAATATCTTTTAATGCAGAAAAACGATGGTGATAATGATGGTGATGAATAATAATAATAATAATAATAATAATAGTAATAATAGTAATAATAGTAATAATAGTAATAATAATAATAATAATAATAATAATAATAATAATAATAATAATAATAATAATAATAATAAACTAATGGATAATAAATTGATAAAATAGTTACAGTTAAAATTCATAAATTAGACGGGCTGTTGAGACATATTTTCCATTGTGGAGTGTTCGTAATCGTCGGTGAGACTCTACAACGTCATCCGTACAGAATGATAAATCTCTTACTTTGAATAGTCAGGCTTTGAGGGGAAAACTCCCAACCAATCAAATAATAGCCGCCATTGTTTGACAATTATACATTAAACTGAAAAACAAAGAGCCGCCGGACTTATGAGCCACTTGTCAAACACTCAATCCGGAAGTAATTGCGTAATAGGTTAAAGTTTTATCGTATTGTTTCCTTTGTTGCTGAACAGCAAAGATTCGATTCCGAGAAATACTTTTTAACATTATACTATACATAATGATGACTAATGCGTCATAAAAACTGAGTGTGAACAATAAGTATCATTTTCTACTAATGAAATTTATGTGATGTGTTTTTACCAAGTCATTAAAAAGGAATTTGTGCTTTTGAACATAGTTTGCAAACACAAAGCGGGTTTATTTCTAAATGAGAAGGCATAATATGACTAAGTATTAGCTAATGGGAAGGGACCAATAGTATTCGATTTTTCCCCAATTGTATTTGGAATTGCCCTTTCGGAAGTATCAACGTTTGATCCGAACCGAAAGGTGATAATGGAAGCAATTAAAATTTAACGGTTACACTTTCGGTGGCTGTTTACATAATAAATCATAATGGAGTGAAAACACTCTGGCCAATGAGGTTAATTTAAATAAAGAAAGCACAAACAATGTACAGTATTTCAAGCTTAATTCGGAGATTTCGATTGTGGGTTTAAATTCGACTTTAATTGAATGTTCTTTTTTTTTTGTCTATTTCTGCTTTCTGACGTCCCCTGTTATCATTGTAACAGTTACTATTAGGCCTAAATAAGTAGGAATACCAAACAAGCAATATGAATCAAAACTAACATCAATAATTTTTCCGATGGGCGATTGTTTGCGTCAGCGGATTAGTAATAGGTGTGATGGTTTTTTTTCCATACCTAACGTGTTATCGTATTGAATACTCAATACGTTCCCGAACTTGCGCTTAGTGGACGGTGTTGAATCCGATCCCCAAGTAGCAAGCGAGGTGGTCTAGTGTGTAATACACCCGGGCTAGTTATCTGGAGGTCATGGGTTCAATTCTTCCCACCCAAATCACTTGCGAGATTTTTCCGCAAGTACAGTACTTGGGAACGAGTATTCAGTACGATAGCACCGAAGGTAAAGCAAAAACATCATTCTTATAGCATCAAGATTAATTATAGTCCTACATTAAATTAGCGTGAATGTCGTGGTTTTTTTTTTCCAGGAGCTAATACCGGAATTGGTAAAGAAACTGCATTTGAATTAGCCAAACGTGGGGCTAAAGTCATCCTAGCATGTCGTAATCAGGAAAAGGGAGAAAACGCTGCCAAAGATATACGTGCCACTACCAATAATCCGCATGTCGTCTGCAGAGTACTGGATCTAGCCAGCTTCCAATCTATTCGCAACTTCGCTGAAGGACTACAGAAACAGGAAGACAGGCTTGATATATTGGTCAATAATGCTGGTACGATATGAATTATTACACGATCTTTATTTAGTGTACCGAGCGGGTGAGAAAAAAGAGAGAGTTGCAGAGGGGTAAAAATTAGGAAAAATACATACCGAAACAAGATAATGACCTTCATTAATTTATTGCTAGTTAATTACATCATAATTAAAAATAATGAAATATTTTTATTAATCTCAATAACAAATCGTCATAAGAATAGGCCTAGATGTTTAAAAAAATAGCCATCCAGACTTGGGAAAGTTAAGATTATGGAGCGTGCATTAAAAAATAAAAATCAACCTATGCTCATTTCACAGGAGTAGTAAACGATGGATCTAGTCAGACAGAGGACGGCTATGACTTGGTGTTTGGAGTCAATCATCTTGGCCATTTTCTGCTCACCAACCTCCTCTTACAGAAACTCAAGGAAAGTTCACCGAGCCGGATAATCAACGTATCATCAGATGCATATCAAATGACACGACTCAATTTTGATAATTTGAATCAAAATAAAGGACGCATATCATCTTATTCACACAGTAAACTCGCGAACGTTGTCTTCACAAAAGAACTTAGTCGACGTTTAAAAAACACGGAAGTGACGGCGTATTCCCTACATCCAGGTACAGTATTGTTCATACTTTAATGGGTCCCACGTGCACGTCATATAACCGCGCAAGTTACCGTACCGTGTGGTTAGGCGCGCTGTGGGCATGATTTATGTCTAAAATATTTGCGATATACAAATCGACGATGTAATGTGTATTGTTGTAACAAAAGCAAGCTAAAGAGGCCCAAATACAATATTTGGTTCCATTTAGTTGTAATAAACTACTGTACATACAAAAAAACAGATTATCACTCATTGGTTACTCATTTTTAATCTATGCCTATTATTCTTATATTTTCTTTTACAGGGTGCATCGATACAGATATAAAGCGAAATTGGTCTCCTTTTCTTAAATTCATGACACCGATTATCAAGTTTTGGATTCTTAAAAGTGCGAATGATGGATCGCAGACCTCTGTTCACTGCGCCATCGCAGACAACATCTCTCATTTGTCTGGCGGTTATTTCAAGGGTTGTAAAGTACAGAAAATCTCCCCACACGCTGCAGATGAAACAAGCGGTAGACGGTTATGGGAAATCAGCGAGAAAATGACGGGATTTAAAGAAACAATTGACGTCACCAAATGACTTTATATTCAATAACTTGACGCAAGTTTAACGAAAACACAGTGGCCTGGTCAGAATTAACATGAAGTCGCCATCACCTGAGCAAGAAAGTTCCACCATCTGAGCAGGTCTGAGTTTCAAGATCCTATACTGAAATCTAAAAAGCTCTCGATCTAAGCACCAACATTAATGTCTATGGATTGAGCAACAGGGCTTCCTGATCAAAGCATCAACTTTGTATACTAGAATCATGGACCTATTTTAATAGGTCCGTGATAAAATTACCGATCCGAGTATTGTCTATGATCTGAGCTGAGCAAGAAGGATCAACAATTTGAGCATTTTCTGTTTCGTTGCTCGTTTGCAGTTCTGTTTGTGCTTTTTCTTCTTTAGTTTTAAAATGTATTATTTTTTACTGTTTTTCTTATATTGCAATTGCACACGGGGGTGTGTCCTTCCAGGTGCACAACTCAACAACTACTGGAGCGATTTACTTCAAATTGTCCTACTCTTGCCATTTTCTTTTATTAGTGCGATCTTCAGAAATTATAACATCAAGATTATAATATGAACTACTGAACACATACGGGATCTGAGCTAAGTTTTAAAAAAAATGAGCAAGTTTCAAGTTTTTTTGAGCTATGCATGATGGGTTGCAATTTTGTATATAACATTTTTTAATATTCTTGCATTTTTTAATATATTGTTTTTTGTAAATACACTCATTTCAGCCTTTGGCTGCTGTTTGTATATTTTCTTTTATACCTGAATAAATAAAAAAATTTCAGGCACGCAATGAAACGAAAAAAAGTACTACCACGAGGTAGAGGGCGCCCTATTATAATTCCAGAATTCGAATAATAATAATTGTAATTTTATTAGCGCATAATGTAAAATACCTCTATGCGCTTTTGATAGAGTTTGACATTCGTTCTATACGAACGACCTTTACGTTCTTTTGGGCGGCGCCCTCTAGTTCCTGGTAGTACTTTTTGGAGATAGAATTCCGATTCAAAGAGCTTGCTATTTTATTATCATTGCTACAATCTGGAAATCAAGACTTCATAATCTGGACTTGCACGAAGTTTCCACAATTTGAGCAAGGATTTTTAGAAACTAGTTCAATCAACCAACAAACAAGAAACAGCAAAAGTCTTTCTACATTTGCTACTTTATTCATTTATTTAATATAAAAAAATTGCAAACTTGATTACATTTCATATGATCATAAATGGGGCATTGAGCACACAAATCAGCTGACAATATTACATGCAGCAAAATATAAAATAAAGAAGAAACAATATGAATATATTTAAATTATATTCATCTCTATTTATAGATTTCAGTATTACATAAGTTATAATACATTGCCATGTGAAATAAAACATAAATATTTATTATTTTACGGATATTCATCTTTTTCAATAAAACTATTTATATAAATTTTTTTTTCATCTGATTGTTTTTATTTGGTTTGGCTTGAAATATTTTCTTTATTTTTCCATAATAAGTACATCCATAGCAGGTTTTGACTCTAAATAGCGTGGAACTCCAGTACTGCTTTAAATCATAAAGGTCACTGTTTTGCTGATCATCGGATCTCAAGTTGGAAGAAGACACTTCAGGGAGGATCTGGTTAAATAATCTTTCTTTAAAGCCGCACTCGCTACGCCCGAGGGTCGTCGGCCGATGTGGTTCTATGAAGCACGCAACGTGACTACGCGCGCGCTACAGATCGTTTTTAATGACGATCCATCTAGACTGCCATCGACGATGGGAACTTTTCTGGGAACTTTTTACTTTCCCGTGGGACTGTGGAAGGCTGTTTCAATTTCCAAGGACCCTGATTTGTGAAGATGAATAGTAATACTGTTGATTATACTTCAGTTACATTTCAAACCAGATCATTTATTGCACTGTGAATAACAAGCTGTTTAAGGAGTTGCATAAATGAATATAAAAATAGATAATTATAAAATTAATAAATGTGATTGTCAGAAATTTTATTTAACATGTTTGAATACAAAAGCCAAAAATAAGTACCTGTAATTATTATTCTACAGCACTATTGATTGATTGGCACATGAAAATTCTCAAGAGCCGACAGTGCATGAAGGTAATTCTTTTACACAGTAATCATTTGTGTACTGTACTAATTTTTTATCGTGTGTATGGAATACGACCATATTAACCGCGTATTTTATTATCCTGATACTGTACTCCACAGTAATAATTGTGATCATGAAAATTCTCAAGAGCCAAAATTGCATGAAGGCGATTTTTTCATGCAGTAATCGTTTGTCAAATTATTCTCTTGTGGATGGAATACAACCATAACTGTGTATTTTATTATCATGATACTGTAATCTACAGTAATAATATGACACTGTTAACTGGTTATTAAAAGATATTAGTGTTGAAAATCATAAATAAATGGATGATAGATTGCACTTGTGATTAAGAATAAAGAATACAAATTGATAACAGTTTGAGGGTATACAAAAATGTGACTATTTTAAACACTTCCATACAGAATTTGGTCATACTGGTACCTATCCTTCATGAATTTATATAGAGTTCAGCTTGTGTGACCTTGCCAAAACTCTTGCAGCCTTCCATCCCCATCCGAACAGAATAACTTGAAATCATTGAGTAGTCGAGCAGGTAATTTCTCACATCCTGTCCCCAGAGAGCGCCATCGTTTAGTCAACAGATGGTTGGTTACCCATAAGAATCCAACTTTACCTTCAGCGTCCCGTTTCAACTCGTCTCGCTTTAGTTGCAAGTCAGAGTTGCTGCCATCTTTGCTATAGATCTGCGAACCGCTATCTTGTAAGTTGTCAGAGGAATTCCGACTAAGACTCCGGCGAAATGGTGAATTCGTAAAACTATACCTCTCAGCAGGTTTTTTTGTGCTGCTGGAACAGCGTATTGCAGCAAAAGCTCCCCCAGACACATGAACAAATTGGTAGTAATCCAGCGGCAGAAGTGAAGATTCATAAGCATTTTGAGATGCTTGTTTCATCGGAATGAAACCAAATCTAGAAAAATTAATTGTATTTGATGGTATTATGGCAATGCACATCGCACTTGTTACAGAGCTGCGCATTAACTATTGGTCGTTTCTCACTCGTGCTGATTGTAAAACCATGTAGTGGAGACACTTTGACTGAGTCTTTAATCATACTAAAAATATCTGTGGCTAGATATAGAATATACTTCATTTGATCTACCAAACCAGGCCGCCAAGTAAACAAGTTATGCCTAACCAGGTATACAATACACTTGAATTATCAATTTCAACCGATCATCTTTGACACTTGTGCTACCAAGTATGCAAAAAAATGTACCTCCACAAATGCAATACCTCCCCTGGGCTTTTTCTCATTGAAACTTTGTAAAGAGTGTTGATTAATAAGAAGCTATCCACATGTGTACACAAAATAAGTGCAAGTATGCACAACTGGGGTTGATATAACATTATCATTTCTTCACCAGTGACATAAATATATCCAATATCTATTATTTATTACAAGTCTCCCTTTAATTAAATACCCTCCAATTAAAGACCACCTCCAATTAAAGACCACTTTTCTGTGGTCCCAAATCAACAAATGTCTTTATCTTTATCTTTATAATTAAGGACCAAAGCTACTACAGATCATGAAAACTAAACTAAACTAACTTACTAAAGTTTAAACTAAAAAATGGAAGCAATTTTATACAAACCTTTCAAGTATGGCTATTTGTAGTTGAGACACCTCTGCATTGTCACCTTCAAAAACAGTAGGAACATTAAGTTCAATAAAAAGCGGGCTACTTAGTGGGTCTGATGTTTCAAAACGGAAGTAAAATGGGTCACATGGTACAGGAACTAGATGGAACCCACACTGTTGAGCCTTCCTTGACCATCCTTGCAGCTGAAAAGGAAAAATTATTGATCATTCAAAATGTTTGATTTTCTTTCTGCATGTTCAGAAGTCTACATTAATCCTACCAATTATAATAATAAATAATAATAAAAATATCCTGGGCTATACATCCGGTGGATTGGCTGTAAAGGTTCAAATTAATCCTGCCTGTAGCATAAAAAATATATCATGTGCTGTCCATCAAAGTGATCGTCTTTGTTACAGGGTATCTATTGTAAGACAACCTTAATCCTCCCTCCTGAAATATGAATAGCAACATCCTGATCTATCCATCAAAGTAATTAGCTGTGGTGTGGAGTGTAGCTTCATTTACATAATTATATGCTTTCTGACATAATAGCCCAAAATCAAAAAAAAAAAATCAAAAATCAAAATCAGCCAAGGAATGACAAAAGCACAGATTTGAAACCAAACCTATAACAGACTGTTCATAATAATAATTCACCAATACTCATGAAAAATATTTATCGTACAATCCATTCAGTTGGCTAATTAAAAAGTAGCAAAAACGATGATCAATTTTTAACTAAGAGAAAATCAATGACGGAAAAACTATAATTGTAACTCAGATTCCAAAATCGTTTTGCCTGCCCAAAGAAAAATTTTATGCTAACCAGTTCATTCAACATGCTGGAAGAAGAGACTAGCCATTGAACTTTCAACTCAAATGCTTGACTTGGATTGAAGACCTGCTGATAAGCAACGTGACACCATTCTGGTCTATCAGTCTTACTGTTGCTTAAGTCCATGATAACATTTTTAAATAAGCTGGAAGGATCTGTAAAAACAATGAATAAAGTTATATTATTTAATACCCTTATTCTTTTAATCTTTCTCAATTTGAATCTCTTCTTAAAACTAACCTTTTTCCATAGATAATACTTAAAAAGTGCTGTGAGACTCCGGTAAAGAGCACTATACGAATTCTCAAATATTGTTATTATTATAGTACAGGAGTATATCCAGCAGAAAAATCATCATCAGGATTTGCGAGGTCTACTGGAAATCAGCAGTGTCTCATAAACAAGCAAATATCTCCTGGATACTAATCCATCTCCCGCCAATTCATGTATGTACCTGTGTTGGTGAAGTCAGCTGGCCATGGTTATAACCATGTGCAAAAGAGTACAATTCAGCGTGGAAAGAAAACTGAATAGACCAGATCTCCTGGAACTGGCTTCCCCTATCTGTATTCATCTTTATATTTTTCAATTAAATATTTGATATTATTTATTTTCAATTCTTACACATCAAAAAGCAACAAGCCAATTAAAAGACAGTATTTTGTGATGTTCAAAACAGTTTTCTAACAGCTGTTGTGTTGAGATAAAAAAAATTTTTTAATTCTTTAATAGCTTACTTTATATCGTTAAAGATGATGCTTTAATAAAAGAGAAAAGTAGAATAAAATGTCCTTGTCAATTTTTGGAGCATTTTCACTTTTAATATATTTTAATAAATTATTAGCTTTAATTAAAAAATATTGTCCTCTTTAATTAATATAAACATAAATTATACCATTCATGTCTCAGTAAAGAATTTTGAACACTAGTGAATTTGTGATTCACTGGTGCTGTCCTTTCTACTTCCTTACCTTCGTTGGCCATAAAACGTTCACGACCTCCCCATCCGTGGTGCAGCTTTGATGAATCAAAATCATTTCCCTGCTCGCTCCATGGAAATAGTGCGGATGGCATATCATCTCCGTAACAACTATCACAAGACACTGCAACCTCGAATAGATATCTTTGAAGTGAAAGATCTATTGATATATTGGGGGAGTTGTCTGTAAAATGAATATACACTCATTCAATTTTATAGCACATTATTGCCCCTTTTGAGGGCACATATCACTTGTCTTAAAAATACTGCGCAACACTACATATAGCAAGAAGTTACAAGCTCGAATTACATAGAAAGCACTTGGCCACACTTAATTTAAGACTGAAGTTCACATTGCAAAAAAAACAGCTAAAAAATTGTATACAAAATATATTTATTAAAAACTACACTATTATTATTTTTAAGCCATTAAAAAAAGCATTATTTTAAGAATTTTAAGACAAGGCAAAGTTAGAAAAGAAAAAAATTGGGAATTTATTGCACAGAGAGGTAAGGTGGATTCATCCAAGACAGTTCGTTGTTAGCACGATAAATACAGAATTAGGAGATAATTCAAAGATTAGATACATCGTCTCTGAATTCTGGAAAGCGGACTTGTTTATTGCACAATTTATGTATGGCCTCATATCTCTTTACACTTTCATTCGAGATGAAGCCTCTGTTTCAAGAGCGATTAGTTTTTCATAAAATCCGGAGTCGCACAGGTCTTGTATTAGGGAACTATTTGTTAGATTTCTTAGTGTGAGCGGATTATTATGTTAGGTTCGAAAAAGGAACAGCGAGTTCTACGATCATTATGTTTCCAGTAAATGAAAATGTCTGGTGTGAGAGATGCTGTGGTGAATTCTATTGGGATGGTGGTTGTACTTGGTGCGGCTCTGGATTCAAGGTCAGTGTTTATCAATGGGTGAGAGGGATCTTTAAAAAAGCTCATGGTAAGAATTTTAATCATACAGTATATCCAAGAACTTTGTTGTGTCTCCACATGAAGTGCCCCTGCTCAAGGGACTTGAAACAGAAGTTTAGAACATGGTGGAGAGCTTCTCTGTTTCCACCATTTCGACACTTGTCAAATGCGGCTTTTGGCCCATCTTACAAGGTTTACCCTTGTGTTTTGTGTCACCTACAGAGAGTACACAAGCAATTTTAAGACTCCAACTTGAAGATTATATGCAATACTCTTCCAGTGGTAGTGTGACTCCTCCAGTGACATCAAGTATTAAGAATCTACCTTGAACAGTGAGGCCCTTCACATGGAGATTCCAATTTCCTTTGTATATTCTTATTTAAAAATTTTGTTAGCTGTGGTTTGAATCTGTTTATATGAAATATGTTCAAAAGAGTTAGAAGTAGTAAATAAATGTTCACATTCAATGGTAATAGGCGTTTTCCTCGTCCAGTCAGATTCAAGTTCCAAACCGTTGTCAAGACAGGCATTCTCAGGAAGGCCACCATTTATTCGAGAAGAAATACAAATACAAACCACAAATACATACATACATACATATACACATATACACATACATACATACCCACATACATCTATTGGTGAATAAGTATTTACTTGACAGGTTTGAATTTCATAGTTACATATGAATGCCTATTTATTTAGAAATTGCAAGGTAATGAAAAAAATGATATATGTGCAAAAGTAAACATAGAATTATACAGGATGCTACAATTTTTATAGTAATGATATAAACTTACTTTCAGTTTGCTCACTTGGTGACCTCAGGTAGAAGAAATGGTAACCATTACAATGTGACGCACAGGACTTGTCCCCCACAGGATGGATTAATTTCATTTCTATCATAGTCTACAGTGAGAAATAATAATCCAATTTGACATATTGAGAAGGGTAGGCACTATCAATAATAAAAATAATAGTAATAACAAAAGAATAACAATATAATGATGATGACAACAAGAATAATAGAAGCTTTCGTTATCTCGTTCGAGAACCAATCCACCAAGTAAAGTGTATTTTTTTTTGTGTATGACGTCACCGGTTTAGGTCAAGTTTTATCATTTTTGCACTCGAAACCTGATATTCAGCCGCTGGATCCTGGATGATGAATTGAGAACCAGAAACTGGAATTTGATTAAATTCTATATCAAATGATTATAATACTACCTTGAAAAAATCATCATAGTTAATACTGATAGCAATTTCAATCAAATGTGTTATGTTTTTTTCACATAATCAAGGTATTTTGTCCAAGGCCAAGCACTAGCCATACTGTACCATACATCAGTCATCGTACCACCATAGCACAAGTGCGTGCCAAGGCCGCAGCAACAGGCTGTACTGTCACCAAGAGTCTGGTTCTCGGGGGAACACAAAAGGGGATAGCAAAAGCTATTTTTTTTAAACGAGATCTTACAGGAATTTTTCTCAGCGGATTGGTTCTCTAATGGGATAACAAAACCTCTAATTATAGCCAGTTTCCTTTGACAAACTGGTTTGAATTTTACCTGAAAGAGCTCCACCGCCTCGCCCTCAAGTGTATCCTCTTCTAGATTGTGGAGGATCCACTGAACAGCATCAGCACCAATGAAAGACTGTGGAGGAAACCCTTTACTGTCTGGAAGCAAGAAGTTCAAGCCACTTCTACAAAAAATTCAAAATGCATTATTTCAAATCAATGTTGAATAATATGTTACATTTTTTTCCATAGTTTAATTAAATCATGATAATTCATTATAATACTAATTATAACATTGTAAATTTAGAATATGCAAAAATCAATCCATGAGTGCTTTAGATTATTAATATATATAAGTATATAGTTTTTCAACCAATGTCATATCTTATCTGTACTGTACTGGTTGCTCACAGCTCTTTTTTCCACGCGGTTGATATATACGTGAGAAATTTGAGCAACAATATTCTTTGAGTGCTTGTTTACATAACATAAACAGTATTAATTATGAGGTGGTTATTGTAAAAAGCTTGAAGCACAAAACACTCTACCGCCTGGAGAGAAATTTGTTTATTAGAAAGTTTATGAACTTGGTTGTTGACAGTTATGGGCGTGTTAACATAAACTGTATATAAAATATAAAAATAATAATAATAATTAAAAAAAAACCAAAGCATGATACAGTAAACTACTTCCTTTAAATCAGTTATTATTATGAATTCTCTTCAATGCTTTATAGCAAATTAAATAAATTGAATCAAAAAATCTCTTAGTCCTTACTCTGAGTTTCTCATGGCATTTAATATATACTCCAAAGGAGACTTGAGGCTAAGGTGTGGTCTCTCAGTGGCAATGTTGTTGTTGGTGGGTGTGGCACTTTGTGAAGCCAATAGGCTTTTATAAGCATCTGATGTCTACAAAAGTAGAAGTATTCAACGTTTTAAAAATAAAACATGAGATAAAATGTTATTTATCCTTAGTACATCAAATGCCTTGTAACGTGGAAACTGATCACATGACCTGTAGCAAGGTTCTTCATCCTAATACCAGAAATGAATCATTAGTTTATTTCTGTTGACATACAAAAACATGTTACAAATCCAACTACTAAACCATAACATTCAAGGCTCTGGAAAATAGGCATCTTAACCATAAACTACAGTACTATATAATTTTACTCCAATGAAAAAGTTGGAAAAAAGAGTGGTTTAATGCGCCCATTTCCACCCAGTTTTTAAATATTCAAAAATCTGTATCGCATCATAACCGTTCCTGAGATTTTCGTCAAATATGCTTTTTGTGTCTTAGAAAAATCAGTTGTACAACATATCCAAATATTTTTTTCTTCCAGAGCCTGGCTTTAATTGGTTATTGTTAGTATTTTTTAACCCATTTCAGTGGAACTAATTTGCTGCCATGGGAGGTGCGTCCCTGCACCCCCCACCCTACACCCATGTAATTTATATCTTTTAAAAGCACAATTTTCTAGCATGAATGTATTATTTCATTATTAATAATTACTAACACTGTTAGTAATGAAGCAAAGTTGTTGCATTAAAAGTAATTACTAACACTGTTAGTAATGAAGCAAATTTGGTGCATTAAACTGGCTGGCAACATTAATTAAGCATGGTAGTGGTGATGGTCTCATATTTCTATAACACTTTCCACAACAAGTATCTTCTCAAGGATCTTTTTAAACATGAAATAAGATGTACAGGAAAAAATAACAACTCCATCACTACCCCACACAAAAAAAAAAAAATCCCAGCATAATTCAGCCCTAGAGAACTTCATCATTCAACAAGTATACTCACCAAATAGGATAAATTTTTTTTAGCCGAAAGAAAAAAAAAGACCTTGGTCTTTACAGGATTTAGACCTAGTACTCTAATAGTGGAAGGCAGGCACCTGTCCCACCATACCATCGTTCCACTATGAAGCACTTAACACGTTCGCTGCCAGCAACGAATATACTCGTCCCACGGGTGTTGCTGAGGGCGCTTGGTATGACTATACCTGTCAAAACTGGGGTAACATTCTAGCATTTATTACTTACATTTATTACTTACATACATTTTAGTACCACTGATAGTTCGGGGAAGATACACTTAGACGATAACGTATGTATGTTTGTTGTGTTATGTTGCCGGCAGTAAAGAAGACTGCACGAGTGGGGCATCCTCTGAACATATACCAACCCATGCAAAAAGTGGACGTGAAAACTCGCAATTGGCAGAGGCAATAGAAATTACTGTCCCATGGCCAGCGACGAGTTTACTTGTTCCCTACTATTTTCCCACCAATTTATTAGGCACAACATTTTGATAATATGTGACTTGATAACATTGGAAGAAAGTATGTTTGTACTTGTATACTTGTTTTGGCACATGGGACAAAACCTAAAACAAAGGTCTGGCAGTCAACATGTTAAACACGAAAGTCCAATTAATAGGTTGTGATTGAAATGTGTTGGTTTTGATATATGTTGTACACCACATATAAATCCCTATTATTTAATATCTACAATGTCCCATCTTACGTATTCAAGAGACCCAACACGGTGACGAGTGGACTTGTCTGCACCCCTACCAACAGGACTGCAGGGTCGTTTCGTAAGCATGGTATTTTTCTGTCGGATCTCCGATAAAGAAGTCAAACTGGCACGCCTTGTAGGTTTTGCATGTCCACTATTTCTCTACAAGCACAAGAAGAAACAAGGTCGAACATGCAAACAACAACAACAGCAACTATAGAAATGTTTACAGTATTTTGAAAGCAAAAATTTCAATATGCATTGTTTCAAACATTGTAAACATATCAGAGGTGAGATTTTTCGAAAGATATACTGCCTGTGGGAAAATCCACATAAAGCTAAAAAACGTTAAATTTCATATTTTAATTTTATATATGTTTTTTAGACAAATTTTCATTATTATTATTATTATTATTATTATTATTATTATTATTATTATTATGTATATTTATCTTTTATACTCCTTTTGTTGGCTTTTCAGTGTTTTTGGGAAACCAATTTTGATAGTGATTTAGTTTACTTTTTTAAATCCAATTTTCTTTGCTGTTGTCCTCTTTCCCTGTCTTGTGCTTTTTCTCTTTGATCTGTCCAATCCAAATCCAATAACTGTCAAAACTGAATATGAATCAACCTTGACTTTACAAATTCTCCAATTTGCATACATAACTTGGTCGAGCACTGTATGTAACATTGATGTTCCACTGTAAATAAGCAATTCATATATTGCATTTTATTTTTTTTAATTGTTTAGCTCCACACAGATGGTATATCTTTCAAATTTCAGTAAACGCTAAAGGTTAAATAGGAACAATGCAAAGCAAGCTATCATTCTATTTCAGAAACTCCATTAATTGTATTAATAAAAAATATGAATAAAATTTCATACCTTACTTTTTGACACATAAATTTTACCTTTTTATTAGAAGCTTCCTTTTTATTCGAGTTGTTTTGACGACGGATACGATTAAGGATGTTCATAAATTTGAAGAAACCCTCGATGAGGTTTTGGTTTTCTGTCTCACAATGAAGTGAGAAAACATCGCAAGGTGTACCCGGCGACTCACAAAGTTTGCGGACAGCTTGAGAAGATGAGGGCAGTAGAAGAAAACGGGAACGCCAGAATTTCAGTGACTAAAAACATAAACAATACGATAACAATGATGAGATGAGAGATGAAATGTTATTGATAGTTACATCAATATTTTTCTTTAGACTAATTAAGATCTTTACATGACTATGTGATACATGGATACTTAATAAAAACATGTGCACTAAGCATAAATGCTAATGAGGAATAATTAAAGTTAAATGAACAAAGTAACAAATGAAGGAATTTGCAGAAAGCTGCAAGTTCCAGAAAACTGACTATGTATCTTAACATATTAAGATGGAAACAAAAATACATAGAGACATGAGAATTAATTTTGGAAGCACACTTAAATGCAGGAGAGGCAAGGAAAGACCTAAAAGGAGATTGGGAAGCACATATAACAAATGCACTTGATGGCAAAATCTGGAAGACATGCACTCAATCGTGAAATGTTCTGTGGCAGGCTGATTGGACTGACTGTTTGACTAAAATTGCCTCTCACCTCCATGAGATCATAGTCCACACCCTTACAGCAGATGTGATTGTCCATATAATTCCAGTTGAAAAGTTCTAATTGCTCATGATGGAATTCCACAACGGCCATCTCGTAATTATTCTTTTTTGCCGGCCAAATCTTGTAGCTGTACAAGAATTCTCGAGGTACAAATGGATGTCTAGTAACAAAAAACAAATACTGTATCATGTCAATTTTTCGTATACATATTTTACACACACTCCAAATACAGTTCATTGACATAAGGTCTTTTAATTCCAATATGATTTGGAAGGCTTTGGTTTTGGTAAACACCAAATTCGGGACGCCAGTCTCCAGAATTCACAAATTAACTTAATTTCTGAACAATATTACAGTTTGCAAGCATGTAGAACACTGTAAGATATATAGCTATTAAGAAAGTGCTTGTCCGCTGGGACTAATTCACAACCAATTATGCAGGAATGGGTTAACACTCTGGGACATTAGAATAAACGCTAAAAAAAAAAAAAGATTAGGCTTACAGCCCTCCACTACTCTCTGCATCCTTTAATTTCATCAAATTAAAAAAGACTATACCTAGGTTTGAACATGGTCACTTTGATGACACGATCATTTCTATGTAATGAGATCCGATGGAAAATCTTGCCAATACTGAGCACATACTCATCACGATCAACATTGGTGACAAGATGATGACTGGTACGGTAAGTATTCTGTTGAAGGCCCGACTTGACATTCTGAGGTGATATGACCATCTGAAAACCCTGCAAGAATATGGGAAGTTAAGAAAATGCTGATTAACATTGGAGCTCTACCAAACTTGTTACTTAAGCCGGGCTCTCAATATGCCAGATGGTCGTCGGCCAACGTGATTCTATGAAGAACGCAACACCATGACATGCGTGCAACTGATCGTTTTTTTTAAGACGATCCGTTCAGACTGCTGTCAACAATCAGCAGACAGTGTCACATTGTCTAGAGTTCACGGTGAGCGAAGTTAAATTCATTATATGATGGCCGTATGACCGCCATACGATTCAGCGAGTGCCCGGCAGAATTATGGTCAATAATTCTAGACCGCAAGGCTAACAATCATGGTACAGCAGATAATTAAGTATCTTTAAAAATAAGGCAATTTATGCCAGAAAACCCATTACACTACAAATAGCACAAGGCTATTTCTAACAAATATTTAAATTGGCTTTACTTACGTGCATTAGTCTTTGTGAGACTAACTCCATAAAAGCACTTTCTAAAGAGTAGACATTAGGTCCGACCAATTCATCTGGTGACACATCATACTGGTTCTCCATGTAGTCTCTCTCTAAAATGAAGCTGTCTGGATAGTAGTCAGTGGTGATCGGCAGACAAGCTGTTGCCATTATTGACTTCCAATCAACACCTGAAAAAAAACCAGACCCCCGATGGGGACCGTGGTTGCTATTAACGTAATACATTTCAATTTTTTTTCAAAAGTTTTCATGCTGGGTTTGGGGGGGGGGGGGCGTTGAAAATCACAATAGCGTCACAGCCACAATGGTGTCTGTTAACCCCAGGCCACCTCACCGCATCGTCCACAAAAACTTGTGTAATGAACAAATTACATCTGATAGTTTCGTAAATAGTTGTCAACAAAATCAGCCATTGAACAATAAAATGAGACTCCAAATAACAAATTTTCATAGTTTTGTTGAGGAATACAGTGTATAATTGAAGTTTTGGAATGTCGGTAAAGTTTTCTGTCTGTACTATGTTCAGTGTACTGTTTTATCTAGGCTTCCAGAGATGTCCATGACAGTCCTCAGAGGAACATCTATCACATTTGACAGTTCGGCGACACCAAAAGCCATATACATTCCATAAATGGTTTGTCTTTCCACACAATTTGGTATCTTTTCTGGAGTAGGGGGTGTTGTCTGTCCTTAGTTATGGTATTAATATTTTGTCAAAATAGAAAATCAATAAATAGGGCACAATGTCATATCCAAGTTAGCTTGGGTAAGAAAATTCATAGCGTACAGATTTCTGGACACTCATCTTTGCCTGTTTACAAAGTCGGCGTAACACACACATGCACAGGCGCACCATGGATGTACCATGTGACACTATCTCCATTGGAAAGGTTCCTATTGTCAATAGGAACCAATAATAGAATATTCAATCAATGATTTTCAAAAAATTCTTGCTTAATCTATTATTTATTGTACAGGAATAGTATAAATGTTGAATAAATCAAGTAAAATATCGCAATATTGCTTGTCATAGCAGATCTAAACCCCAATATTAATAAGTTACCTGTCTGTACAAAAGGTGTCCATACTTGCTCCCCTGTTGCACCCCAAATCCAAGCAAGCCTACTGTTCCCTAGAAGATCAAAATCATGAAACATTAACATACCTACAAAATAAAGTGAGACCGATTGAGATAACCTTTTGTATTCTAGACGCCCAAAAATAACCTCTGAGGCGTATTGTGCGATCAACTTTTTATTTTTCTTTCTTTTTTTTTTTACCTTCCAAAAGGGGAAGCCCCCGGGGCCGGGGCCCCCTCCAAATCCGCCCCTGATCATGATCAACAGAATTCCAATAGACAAACACAAAAGTATGGAACCTCTCTGGTTTCCATGAGACTTGGGAGAACTGGATTAGTACCAGGGCAAGTCCTACCTTATACTTACTACATACCTACTATATTCTGGATGGTAACTATGATTAATATGGCTACCAAAATGGGGCTAGATATAGTGTTCAGAAGAAATCTTACCAGGTCCGACTGGTGGTCCTCTGTATTGGACTGTCTCCACGCTAGCCGTACTGGATACGGATAGCTGACTACTGAGACTAATACCACTTGCCGAATGCGGTAAACCGGCACCACTACCCGAGTGCGGAATTCTTCCCTGAGGTTGCCCTGAACCTGAGTCGCTCAATTCTAACATTAAATTCTGCTCATCGTCTGAACATTCTGTACCATCCCGCCTGCGGTGATGAAGTTGAATGGCTTCTCCAGAAGGTCCTATCCAATGATCACAATAATAATGTTAATAAAAATGATAATAATTTATATTATCTAATGTTAAATACATATTAATAACTTAATTCTTTATTTTTTTATTTCTTTGTAATTGCATCTAATTATACTGGGATTGTTGGTTTGTACCTGTAACACAATAACATATGAAATAACAGCCAATAAGAATTAAGATTTTGTTTAGGACTGGTGCAACAATAGCCACTGTTTTTTTTAAATAAACAAAAATTACCTTGTGGAAATGTATGTGTCCACCGCCGTCGATTAGATGTCAACCGGATAGCAGCACAGGATTTGGCAAAAGGATTGATCAATGCTCGTTTGTTGTGTGTATTTGTTGGACTGATATTAGGAAAGCAGTGTATGGCACTAGCACTTCCAACGATCAACCGTTGAGGGAGCCCTTCAGAGTCCTCATTCTCATTTTCCTGACTATGTGAAATATTTTGTGGACTTTTAAAAATTTCTGAGAAATAAATTAATAAATATAAACTATCATATGTTAAGGTTCTTGCATTTTTCATGAAAAGTTTTTGGTTTAACCCTGGTACAAGGTAAAAGGTAAAGGTATGAAAATAATCCATAACTTGCAGCATCATTATGCTGAATTGCATTTGGGTGGGGTCTGCAACTACCTAAAAGCAAAAATGTTTGATATTTCTTACTATAAAAGAAGTTTTACATTGATTTATTGGTTTAAACATTTTCTTTTTGTCTGATTAAACATTTACATTATTTTTTTATAAATATTAAACCAATTCTAAATGTTATACTTATAGTAATGGAAAACATCTTTTGTAATGGCATCATCGACACATACTGCCTTCATAAAATAGAAAGTTTGTATTTGGGAGGTTCATAATTGGGAGATGTTACTGTAATATATTTAAAATACTATAATTTTTATATTACCATCATCCTTTCTGCAAAATGATACAACCCTGGTTCGTCCAGGGATTGGTATGGCCTGTGAGGATTTCTGATCTGAACTAGAGGTTGAATCATTCAATGACATCTGCTTTTTAAAACTTCTGTTGTGTATAAGTTTTAACTTTAAAGAGGAAATCAACAACAATTATCGTTATTATAAATTTTGAAAGGTGTTTCGAGTCAGGAAGACCACTTAATTTACTTGGATGATTTGAAGTGTTTGGGAATGTACTGAGTATAACAAGTAATGTTGGACAAAACACAATTCATAGAATGTTATTAATAAAGAAAATTAAAAATTGTATATAAATGAACTATATATTACACATCTTAACTTAATCAATTTACTTCAAAACTTACCTTTAATTTGTCTTTGGATGATGTGTCCCTCAAACCGAACTGACTACGAACACTTTTAATGCTACAAGTGTTCAAAATTGAAAAAAGCAATTAGAAATTTTAATTTTTGTACATATTACGAACAATGTTTGCCCTACCTGATGTATTATCGTATTGAATGCTCGGTACATTTCCAAATACTCGCGAAAAAAAATCTTGCAAGTAAGTCGGGAGGGAATCAAACCCACAACATCCACATAACTACCGTACCTGGTAACTTAACCACTCGACCATCGAGATTGCGCTTGGTGGTTAGTGATGAATCCAATTCCTAAGTAGCAATGCCATTGCGATGGCTAGTTATCTGGAGTTTGTGAGTGCAATTCCCTCACGAATCACTTGCAAGACTTTTTGGGAACGTACTGAGCATTTAGTACGCCAACACGACGGGTAGGCCAATCATCGTTCCTATTATTCGGATAATATTTTTACAGGAAATTTATACAAAGCCAAAATTTTAAAGGAAGTATAACCTTTTGAAAAAAGGCAGATCCATAAGTAGTTAACTGGATAGGCCAGTCTCAAAATCATCCGAACTGGCAAAACTGTAAATGTCCTTGATAAAACTTTATTCAGATTTCAGATTCTGAAAGTGCAGTGACACCTCCATATAGTTAGATATATTGTATCCATCAATTACATGAATACCATCTTTTCCTTTTGTGACCATTTTGCAATTTTTAGATTAGTGTTATGAGGGGAAGGTAAAATACACCCTCTCCAATGTTACACTTACCTTGATTTCGAAGTACGTCGACTCGGTATCTTGAAAACATTATCGTCATGCTCATCATAATAGGAATCGACCCAAGAGTCAAATGCATCCATAAATATTGACATGCTAGCTCTACCAGTTGTTGGCTGAAGAGGGGGTAACTCATCTGCACTCTTGTCAATATTTGTCTATAATAAGTAAACATAGTGTGTTGATCATTTTAATTATTGATCAGTAAGTGGGTTTAGGGGAAAAAAAAAAAAAAAAAATAGGCCATACGAAAGGGAAGACAAAGGACTTGTCACATAGCAACAGCCAAGGAGCCCTACATAAGACAAAAAATAGAAAATTATGACCTTTAGATTGCATTTAACAGTGTTTAAATAATTAGTGTCGAATTAGCTATCACAAAGATATTTCAGTTATAGATATAAACTGCGCACGGCTATGGTTGTTTACTCACATTACTTTTTTTGTACTATGCATATGCATCTTCATCTCGCCCTAGTCTAGTGGAAATTCCACACCATGTCCTGAGAATCGAGAGATGTATAGGCCTAGGTCTACTGTTGACTATTAAAATTTAACTTGTTATGTTAACAACAAATGGTTTACAGTATTTTATGAATTAATTATAACCAGGGAGTTATGAAAAAAAAAGTATCTCGGGGAACTGAATCTCAAGTACTGTATTTGCAGATCCATGTGCATGCGTTGTGGCAGACTTATAACCATCCATTATCCAGTGGGGTATAAATATGTTTTTCACATGACATACGCGTGTTGTAAGTGAAACTTTCACAGGGTAGACAATGGTTTAGCCTCCGAATGTCAGTATGAAATCAATGAAAATTCATTAAATAAGCCTAAAGGTTGTTTTATCAACCGTAAATATGATTTATCTTTAGTTTAATGCAACATTCTATAGATTCAAAGAAGGTATATATAGAATTTGCTAAAGAGAGACCAGGTCAAACTAGGCTATGCCAAGCTGAGATGGCCAAGCCGTCGCATTAAAAGTGGCTGTCATAAATAATTGTTGGCCGTCCAAAAGACGGTCGGACAGCTCACTGGCTAAGCACTCGTCAGTAAGTGTACAGTATTGTTTTCCCCAAGGAATATCATACCATTTACAATAAAAATTACCTAGCTTACAAAGGCATTTACAAATATTTTGAGAAAAGTTATTAAATATAAAAAGCGATAGCACAGAAAATAATTATTTCATATCTTTTCCCTCAAAAAGACAAAATATAGAAGACAAAATCTAAACTTATATAATGAAATCAGATAATGAAAGTGAAAAGAATCTGTAAAACTGAGACACTTCCAAATTTAAACAAGATATGTGATGTAGATATCTTAAAACACCTTAGTATCTGAGAAGCCATAAGAGGTGAGTCATTAACTGTTAAGTCCTTTCCAGATTATCAAATTTTCTTTGACAACAAACTTTCGTATGCCCATAATTAGTCATGATGATGACATGCCCATATATAGTCATGATGTGATGTCATCATGACCATATTTAGGCATGTCACATACTTTTGTAAAATAAAATATGATGGTCTGGACACGGTTTCATATGAAATCATGAAATGAAAAACAAGAAAAGCACTATAGAGGGAAAGGTCATAGACTTGTGCCAGAGACAGTATTTTAAGTACACTATGCATTGCCATACCAATCTTTCTGCTAACTTTATCCTAGGTGTAAATGTTGAAAGCGCAGGAATGTTGTTCTTTCGTTGATTGTTGGATCGATAGAAGCTATGGTTAACCCAATGAGGTATGTTGTAATCATCGCCAAGTAAACTGTTATCACTAAAGTTGCTATGAAACTGAAATTAACAATCAAGATAGAAAAAAACAAACAAATGATTAAGAATAATTATTCAACAATAAAATATTATTTCATTACTTCATCATTGTTTACATTAAAAGATTATGTTCATTGAAACTATCATTTTGAAAACTATGATTGATTCCAAATAAAAACACACTATAGTGTGGATAAATAATTAGAGGAATCATACTGATATAACATAATATGCAATGTTATGGTCAAAGGTCATAATTCACATACCCTGAACAGAGGGGTGGCATGAAGAGGCTGTTCTGCCATACAGATTATGTCAGTGTTGATTCCTAAACACAAAAACAAAAAAATGAATCAATATAATTGTTCAATTGCACGTATGAAAGCATTGCTCCGTAGTTGAAAGTGAAATTATTCATAATCCAAGACATAAAATATGCAACATTCCTCAACATGCATCAGTGTCATAATCAAAGATCTTATAAACACAAGATAGCGTTCTCCGGGATTTACGCGTGCAAATTCTGTAATAAGGCATGAATGGCGCCCTCTTGCTAAATTGGAAACTTTTGACCCTTGACCGCCGGCGATTTTTTTTTCCGTACGAAAGATCTGACCATACAGTACACCGCCTGTGAACAGCAGAACAGGAACCGTCTCAGATCCATGGCAACAGATAGGACGCCCTCTTCCAAAACTTATTACTTTTTCTCTTCGGTAATAGCTCATGAATGGCGCCCTCTTGCTAAATGGGAAACTTTTGAACCTTGACCGACGCTTCTATTTGTTACGCGTAAATCGCGGAGAACGCTATCTTGTGTTTATAAGATCTTTGGTCATAATGTAAGGAGGAATTAGTTTATAATAAACATATATAAAACATTTATGTACTGTGGTGGCCAAAGCCCTGTTTATTATGAATAAAATAGACTTATTTTGAGGGTATTTCACATGTGTAAAAGACTAAATAAGACACTTTTTTAAGAAATAATACTTATGGAGATTTAGTATATATCTTATGGAGGACAGAATGAATATGAATACATCTTACAAACCACAAGGAACGTGGGAGAGTTTTGAATATGCAGACTTAATATACACACCTTGTGGAGAGGGTAGAATTAGGTTTAAGTACTGAATAAAGTGTTGTTTAAGTGTAATAAGCATCGGCAGCCAATCATCCCTCCATTCATGTTGTACAATGACCCTACAAAATAAAATAATGGAGTCAATGAGTTTTTTCCATCATATATAAATCAACATTATTTGGTAATACTGTACCTTTCAGATAGAACAGACATATCCTTCAGTGCACCTTCTATATAGCAAGGTTTGATACATGGTTAAATAACTCGGGTGTGGGCTTTTATGAACTGTAGCAATTAATTCTACAGGTAAATCAAAGTCTTTATCCAAATGTTTACAAGTAAAAAAAAAACAAAAATAACATATTTATAAAAGCCTTGCTACTGTAAATTTTTAAATACATAAAAATTCTTGTGAACATACTTGTATAAATCTTCATAGATTCTCCCTTTATAATCTATATGCAAGCAAGTCCTCATTGATTGTGGAAACACATCTAAATGTAGAACAATGTATAGTCAACTTTAGTCAATTTTAATAAAAATTATGTTTATGATCATGCAATCATCAATATAAACTTGATCATTATTAAATAATTATCATAATCATTCTCATTCTCATCATGATGTTCATAATCATCATCATCATCATCTTTACTTTCATTATCATTATCACAATCTTAATCATCATAATTTATATTAATCACCATTTTTTCATCTTCATAATTAGCATCTTCATCATGATTTCATCATCAACTGCAATACCATTATCATCATTATCACCCTCATATATATTGTATACATTTCAATGTTCACAGCAAAAGATTGTATTAAAATGAAAAAATGCAATGCTCTGGATGGCACATACCAATTGATTGAGCATTATAAAACTTTCTGGAGAAAAATACAATTGTCACTTCATTGTTGACATTTTGCTGTTTCCATAATGTAAATAGATCTTTAAGAAAACCATTCACTGCTTTCTCCCAATACAAATCACCTACAAATCAAAAACATCACAGATGAGAATTAGTAGATATATTATTTCTATCATTGTTGAAATATTACCATCAGAACATATTTTGCAAAAATACTATCATTATTATTCTTATTGTTGTTATTATCACCAATCCTGAACATCATCATCAGCATAATTTAAATTTTGCAAAAATTACCATTTGAATCAAACTCCCACATTTCGCTACTCATCTGTACAAACAGGTAACACATTGCTTTAGAAGACCTGAATGCAATCTTGGTATTTTCAGTTATTGCTCCACAAGTGACCTTATCACCTTTGGCCCACAGTTCACTAACTTGTGTACGAATACCACATATCTCTACCTTTTTACTAATGTAAGCACATGTTGACATCTATAATAAAATAAATGGAGTAAAAATTGTTATAAATTCAAAAAGAAATATTATATAATTTAATCTTCTTAGAAAGTGTTGTTTTGTTCATTGTTATATAATATTGCAATTACAGTTTGTGATGACATACAGTACATTTAAAAACTTATATAAAATAAATATATATCTAAATAGTGTTAAAATTTTAGATTTTTTGCAATAATTTTTTTTATTCAACTAAGCCACTTTCACTGCCCTTAAAACTATTTAAATCAATTTTTTAAAATGGCTTGTGAAAATCTGTGTAAGCTAAGTGGATTGAATAGGCCCACCATAACTTTTCTGGATGAAGACAGTAATTTTTAAACTGGAAAATTCCCACCCTTTGCTCAACATTGTATCTAGCAACACAACCTTGATCGAATCTGATAATAGTTTATCTTATGCTTTTCTATATCCACTTTCGTTTTTCACAACCCATCTGCTGCTTATTGAACTAATCATAAAATCTGATTGTGACGAAGGTCACAGTTTTCAAACTAAAATGAATCCTAATTTGTTGGCCATCACTGTACTTAACAAACCACACACTTGCAAACCGCAAGGTCCAACCACACTGCTTAACGACAACCAGCAGTGAAGGCAACTTGTTAAGAAACAACACACGCTAATGGTTCACAAATTGATTACCCTTCTATAGCTATGGATCTAATTTATAATTATAATACAAATATATATTAAAACATCTCTGATCTCCTTCCATTATTATCAAAATTATTATTATTACTTTCTAAAATTATAAGCTTGATCATTATTTATGTTATTATAAGAATTGATATTCATTCTTATTTTTAAGCTTAATGTTTAATATGGAAATATCATTTTAAAACTTGTAAGTGTATATCTTCTATTTTATCTGTGTATTTTATACTTGTTTTTTGAGGACTCCTTAATATCAACTCTCTATTAATGATGAGTTTACACAGGCTATCCTCATTAAATAAAGTTCAAATAAATAAAACAAATAATCAAGATTTAAATAAATAATCATTATATTAGGCTGCGAGAAAATGTAATTTTCTCAATTTTTTTCCCATGAAATTACCATTTTGTATAATATTTTGAGAAACTTGAGGCGTTGTGGACTGTGTGCTTACCATGCATTTTTTCAGTCTCCACATGTCTCCTCTACTGACATATTGGTCTTTAAAGAGAAGTTCAACAAGATCCAATTCAACATCTTTCTCTTTTACTTTGTTTACGACAACTTCCTTGTACTGACGAAGCTTGAAGATACTTGCCACACTTTGATCAATTGTAACTATTTCTGTTTATTATAACAAAACAACATCACTGGTTACATTTGGTGCTGGAGAATTTTCAAGGACAGTTTGAGATTTTTTTTTCAAATATTACAATATTGCATTGATCAAACAACAAATAATATTGCATGATATCAAATTTAAGCACATAGAAGCTCCGGCATTATGCGCTATACATAAATTATTATCATTTGTCCAATTTTCCTTTTACACTTACAGGTGAAAATTGCAAAAATAAGCATTTAAAATATAATATAACATTAACAAGGCATAAAAATTTTTTTTAAATATTATTATAATATTGCATGATTAAATGACATTTTATGATCCAACATCAAAGTAATATTGCATGATCAAATTTCAAATAAAATTGGATGATCAATTATCATATCACGGATCCTGTAACATACATGTACAGGATCTGTGATCATATGAAAAAATTGCATGATCAAATATCCAATAATATAGCATGATCAAATATCAAATAGGCCTAATATTTCACAAGCAAATATAATAAAAATATAATACTACATCATGTTCAAATATAGATTAGTTTAGTAATACACAATCAATATATCAAATATATTGCATAATCCTCAGTAATATCAAATACTGTAACATTGCATTACTCTTCAAATATAAAATAGTATAGTGTTGCATGATCAAAGAATAGTGCATATCAAATATCAAATACTATACCACCACATATATAAATCCTAGACATTTGATTGGTTAAAAGTGTAGGTATAGTATTTTTACATTTCCATGGCATGGAAAAATCACTGGTGCAAAACCATTTTAACTTGCAGGCTTGTTTTCATAAACTTTTGAGGTAAAACAATAATGTACTGTATTTCCATACTTCTAACTTCCAATCGATAATACAAAATCATTAAAGAGTCAAACAAGCAGTAATCATACATTAATGAGATGTTGATGTAGGCATACCTTTTTGTTGAGTGTCTGCTTTGAGTGACTTCACTTGGAGTAACAGCCTGTAGGAAAAAAAAAATCAATTCAGTCTTTTAAACCCACTGCAATAAAGGAAGGAAATCACATAGATTTCCTACTATTGTTTGCAATTTCTAAAGCCATCTCAGAATGTGTTTAGTAAATAAGACAGACACTGATTTATGTCAGCGCTGATGACGTGATCAAATCAAGGAAGAGCTATCCAGGGGTACTTAGGACTCTAGCATTCCTTATCAGGAGCCTTTGTGTTGGGTATCTTAACTTTCCTTTTTTCCCAAGAGTTGGGTGCTATGTTAATAATGAAACAAACATAAATGATTCCATATACTGTGGCAATGTTGTTATTGATTCAGTTAAAACTTGTGATAATGATCAGAACATGTTTCTGAAGAAACTGTAGTACATCATGAAAATTATGATAAAAATATTAATAATAGAAAATGATTTTATTTACAATATTAAATGATCATTTTTATTTGTACCTAATGATGATGATGATGACAATGATATTGATGATGATGTTGATAATTACAATAGAGACAAGTAGTAGTGTAAATGTATAATTAGGGCTACACACCTACTGGACTCTTCCGCATGATAAATTTCAAGTATATCTCCGACAGACACATCTGGAAAATCGTTAGGATGAATAGTCAACTCATCCTCTTCAAGATTAAAAAAAAAACAGAATGTATTTTTGTCTCAATAATAAAAAGTATGGGCTACACAAAACATTTTCTTTCTACCGCAATTAAAAATGTCACCTTTTGGTCTTTCATTTTCATAAAATTATTGTATAGATAGGCCTATATATAATAAATAATATATGCACTTCATTCTAGATTTGATTGGGCTTGGTCATATCTACAAAATAGTATGAGGCCTAAATATTACACAGGCCTCTAAACTACCCTTCCTAAACTATGTAGGCCTAGGTTAGCCTAGGCTAGGCCTAAACAAATCATAATTAAATGGAAATATTTTCTTAAAACTAAACATTAAAATGTGGTATATTAATATTAGTAGTAGTACTAGGGTGGCACATCAGTAGGCCTCCCTGCAATGATGCTTAACCTGAGGTTATTTAATTTGATTTACATAAAATTGTATAGGCCTAGAACTCAAGTTCATATTGCACGTCATTATCTCAGCTGTGGCCAGAATCCATACTGGCTCAAGCACTTAAATTGCACTTGATTTGACGGCAGCTGCAATTACTGTATTGACAGTCGAAATCATAACGAACAGATTCGGAATCAGCTTTTATATTCTTTCTAAACTTACCATTTGCACCTCGTTGGTGCACCCAAAGTTTAAAATTCTTCATTTCAATTGTTGTGTGGTTTACATCTAGAGAGAAATTATGATATTTAGGAAGTCAATAAGACCCATACCTGTGCCAAGCCTAGCCTAGGTCGTGTCTTCAAAAACCTCAAAGAAAAACAACTAATATGACTGCTGGCGCATAGTGATCTAGCTGACGACGAAATCCAGCACAAGAAGATTCGATTTGCCCAACGGACGATTCCATTTCGTCATTTAGGTAACAAATATCTTACAGTTTTCAGCCTCAAGTTAGCAAGGATCAAATTCTCCTGTCATTTCCCTTTACCATGATCAAGCTTGGTTTATACAGTAGTTTAGGTGATTTAATATCAGTTAAATACACTCCATGATACAGACTGATATTAATACAAGATTCAAGATTCAAGATTCTTTTATTGTCTGAAATAAAACTCAGAAATTGCAATCACTGGCAAGGTAACAAGTGTAAATATCATATAATAAATAAAGAAACAATTACAAAAATATAGAAACTAATACAGTGGCCGTATTCATTGTTTTATAGTACAAATTCGCAAAATTTACAGTACTCATTTTGAAAAGAAGCTCACCCCCTCTTTACTTTGCAAAAGTAGCCTAAAAAAGAAGCCAAATGAACTCCATCTCGAAAAAAGCCCATCTAAAGTTCGCAAAAAAAAAAAAAAAAAAAAAAAAAAAAAAAAAAAAAAAAAAAAATAAGAAGCCCAGGCCTTCAATTCGAGTTTTTTTTTTCGGTAATTGAGAAAATAAATCAATTATCTTTATTTAATATTTAGTAAATTTAGTACACAATCTTCCACCAGTTGTGCAATACAAATGTGAATGACGAGTGTTTTCCATTTTCGAATAATTAACTTGAATCTTGTAATTTAGTAATTCACCCGTGTTAATTAATGGAATAGTTATACATGCGCATCAACACAATCACCATGCGATAGATCGCCATGAGTTAGATCGCCAAGTCCTAGATGTCGCTGCAGCAAAACTTCTACTGAAAAATCAGCTGATATTTTTCTTTTTGGAAATTGTGCGCCCTCAACAGAACTTTGGTCGTATTCAATGTTATTTTCTGCAAATCGCCTGAAATGCCTTTATCCACGAAGACAACTATGCGGTGCAAGAGTAATTGTTGTTTTTTCTTTTTTCTTTTTTTTTTCTTTTTTTTGTGAGGTTGTTGTGAGGTGTTTTAAAAGTTAAAAACATGAAACTGTGTATTTAATCCTAAAATGTTCATAGGGGCCGCAAACAAGTGTTTATAACTGTAATTATAAACTTGTGATTCTTGCTAATGTGTATTTGAACATATTTTAATGGAATTTGCGATACAAATATATAAATTATTATTATTATTATTAATTAGAAACTTTTGTGTATTTGCTTTTCACTACACACCAACCTTATTAGAGCAGCTCAGATTTAATTAACATTTTTTAACTTTGTAAATAGTGGACGCACTGTTATGTACAAGTGCCGCTCTTCTAAAATCGTATGCTCCAATCAATTGTGTGATAAACGTTTTATAAATTGGTATTGTGTGCTTGAATAAAATTAAACAATAGAAATGGAGTACCGTAAGTAAAAATGAAAGATGCGCTTGAGAGGAAATTTTAAAAGGGAGAGAGCCAGTGAGACAATTATATTTTTGCCTAAATTTTTTACTGATGTTCACATTTATTTCAGATTCTGCAACATTAAAAGGGGGAGCTTCCCCCTCCCCCTTAGGGGCGAAAACAACAATTCGTCGAGGAGGAAAAAAAGGTTATATGTATTTTCTACATACTAGTAGACTCTAAAATCGATTAAATAAGCCTTTGAAACCCGTAAATTGTCTAAATTTTCGGGGACCTAAACTAAAAACGTGCTCTATGACAATTACCAATCGGATGTGTATTTGTGAACGTGTGTTTGTATGTGATGGGAAAGAAAGAAAGACGTGCGAACAGAACCATGAGTACCGCGTACTGCTACTAGCGTAGCATATTCTAGGCCATCCTAGGCTTGTATTTGAATTTAAATAGAACAAAATGTTACGTACTTTGAAAAATATCACAATTTGTTTCCTTGAAAAACCAAGTTTTCTATATTCTAGTTTTGGTAAGATAGTAATATAGGCCTATACCGTCATGTTGTTTTGTAGGTTTAACTAGGCCTAGCCTAGCCTAGGCACTAGGCCTAGGGGGCCTAGGCTAGGTCTGGTGCGGTGTGACTAGACGAGCATGTCTAGGAGGCCTAGGTCTGTCTGGGATAGGTCACAGCCCAGACTAGACTAGGCCTATGGCCTAACATATCTGCCAAATACTCATAGTTACCAAACTTAAGTGATTTGAAATGATTTGTATTGTTAGGCTTTTTTTTGGGGGGGTGGCGGGGTGGTGGGGCGTGGCTGCCCGGCTCAGGAGCGGAGCTCCGGTAGGTAGGGGTCCAGGGCCAGTGGCATATAGGAGTCTTGAAG